TTGGGGTCGATGTCCAGGTTGAGGGGTGTCAGGAGGCTCTCGTTGATAGACACGCTGGTGATGCAGGGCGGGCTGGGGCCGCACACGCCTCCGGAGCGGTAGCCGAAGCTGCGTCCATAGGAGCCAGAGCGGAAGCCCCCGCAGACGCTGTGGCTGCCGAATCCTCCTGTGAGGCCGCGGTAGCAGGAGATGCCGCGGTAGGGGGCGGCGGTGATGCAGCAGCGGCCTGGCCGGGGCCCGCAGGCCGAGGCGCAGCTGAAAGCTCGGCCACCACAGTAGGATCCACAAGTCATGATGCTTTTAGTGGGGACAGGAGATTCTGACTTAGAGACGTCCAAATGGAGGGTACAGTGGACGTGGGTTCAGCTGTTCCCTTTGCCGACATCTGTGGGCCTTTTATATACATGGAGAGCCTCGTGGTCAGGAGCAATTAGAAGCCTTTATGGGCTTGGCTTGTTTAGCTGCTGTCGCTCCTCTCTAAATGTGTTTAATTGGTGTCCAGCTGAGGCCAGATGTTTGTGGCCTTTGCCCAAAACTGCACAATTTTCTTCTTCAAAGGGCCAGCTCACCTCCCCCACACGCACATCACCTCCAAATACACAGAACCCTAGGGACTGGGAGACACTTGTCATGATTCAGGTTGGAATGGGGGTTGGGGCTGCGCTCTGGGTCCTCCCCGTTTGGGGAGGTTTGCGCTGCTGTCCCTGGTGCTGAACGCGCTGGCACCTGAAGGTTGGGCCAGCGTGAGATCAGATGCAATAGAACTTGTGCTGTGCTTATTGGTTTCTTTGACCCTGGTCTCTTTCTACAACCCAATCACCCCCACCAACCCACCAAGCCAACACCTTCACACCTGCTCCCAAACTGCTATGAACATAATCTGTGTCTGTGTCTGTGTGTGTGTGTGTGTGTGTTTCTCCCACACCTCCCATCCCTCCCTCCTCCCCATCCCCACTTCTCCCCTCACAGGCTGCTCTTCCTGCAGTCATACATGCAATTGCTCACAGATACTCATCTGCACCTCACCCATCCTCACTGGCACCCAGTTCCGGCCACCTTGGTCAGCCTATTCCAAGGGAATCAGTCTTCCCCTCAAGATCTTCCACAAGCCTAAGGGAGAGGGTGCACACTGGCTCGCTGGACCCAGGAAAGCCCAAAAAATATATCCAACAAGGCCTCAGCAAGGATCAAATGTCTGCCTTTCACCTCAGGCTTCTGTGTTTCCTCCAAGGCCTGGAGTGGACACCATAGTTACAAATACATATAGTGTTTGCCTCAGAATATGACATCTAATAGAGATGCATGAGGGCTGCTGTTATCCTGAATCTCTGATGCTTTCTATGCTATACACTCTGAAATCCCCTTCCCAGCACAGAAATTGGTCAGTCACCTTGTCAGGTGTCAGAACAGGTCCATATTGACATGTGCTGTCTATCCAGTGTGGGCCGTGAGCAAACAAGGACTGGGTAAGGTAAGGATCAAGACACTGCCCAGCTAAGCTCTGGTGACCTGGTGGTAAGATGCTTCCTTCTTCTGGGAAATGGATTAAGGTTTTGTCTCCCACTGCTTCCTCAGAGATTCACAGAGGTGTGTGCATGATGAGGCAATTCCAGAGCATAGTGGAGGTGCCTTTATCATAATCTACAGAGGGCACTTAGCCCGGGGGCAAGATCTCTCCAGAGTTTATAATGTGGCCCACTTATTTTGCCAAAATAGATTAGAACAAAATCAAAGAGAGTAGAATAGAAAATATCAGAGTACCTCTCATTGTTGCATGTGCATAACTATTGTTACATAGCCTTTTGTATATGATTTGTGTGGGTGGATGTGTACACTCATTCACTGTGTAAAATTCTTCCTTAATGCAGTGATAACCAAAAAATGGAAATACATGGCATATTATTTGAGAATACAATCCCAGATTTCAAGCTGCCTGGTTTCAAATTCCAGCTCTACCACTCTCTAACTTGAGGTAATTATATAACCTCTCTGTACATCATTCATGATTTGTAAAATGGGGACAATATACCCAATCTCATAAAATTGTTGTAAGGATTAAAAGAATTAGCTCATGTAAAGCACTTGGAACTGAGCCTGTCATACTCTTAAGTGTCTAATCATATTTGTTGTAGCTGTTGCTGCTGCTGCTGCTGCTGCTGCTGCTGCTACTGCTGTGTCTATTTTGGCAGGGTTTATGGAATATATCAACCCATGTATCTAAACCACTTATGTTCAGTTACTATTAATGGTACCTATCCTACAGGACTATGAGGAGAATTACATAAAACAATACATGGGCAATTCTTAGCACAGCACCTGGCACATAGAAAGTGCCCAGTAAATGTTTTCAACTATTATTCTACCATGTGACCCTGCCAAGGGGAAGGAAGGACTGAGGCCTTTCGCCAGATTATGCTCTTTGTCCTAGAAAAGAACTCAAGTGCCCCTTCTTTAACTCCCAGTCCTTCTTGACTGCCCCAAGGATGGTCTGTTGAGAACCTCTCATCTCAGGCAAAGAAAAAACTGTCACAAGTCCTTGAGCAATCGTACTAGTAGAAAAGAAAAACTTTGGGTAATCTGAAAAGCCAGTAATCAGTGACTAATTCATAAATTTGTATTTATTGTTTAGCCTTAACCAAACATCATAAAACCTTAGTCATGAATCAAATAGTATAATGTCATTCATCTTGCTTTTTGCCTGACCCTGAAATCTCCTGCTTGGTTGGTAACAAGGAGATAGGAACCATGAGGCTGAGGGTGGGGGACGTGCCCTTGTAACCAACCTGACTATAATGGAACTCCAAAGAAAATGAGAGGAAGCAGGCTTTCACTGCAACTGGAGAAACTGAAGTTGGAATTGAGGAAGAACTTCCTGGAGGGAGGACAGGTAGCCATGTTCCTAAAATAGTGCCAATTTGGCTTTTCCATGTAGAGAAGCTTTATGTCAAAGAAAACAACCCCTCTGGACCAGCCACCTTGTTTGTGGAGACAGGCTAAATGAGAAACCTTCCATTCTGGCCATTGGTTTCCTCCTTCAGTCCAAGTGGACCTTGTTTCAGGGGATTCCAGGAAAGAATAAGCAAACTGGATAGTTTAACATTAGGAAGTCTTTGTTCAAAGTTGACATAAGCCCATCTACTTCTGTAGATAGTCCTTTGAGGCAAATTCCCCAGGATGTGGTGGATTGACAACTGGTGGTAAACTTGGTAACACCCAGCTGAACTGAATCAGCATGGTGCTGGTTGTGGGAGGCCCACCTGAAGATTATTATCATCAGCATAAGAGGTAGAACTGGAGACAAAGAAGTTTAGAGGCTGTTGGGAGCTGGTAGAGGCTGTGAGAAGCTGTTGGGAAGCTATTAAGGAGTTGCTAGTTCTCTTGGGCTTTTTTGCTGGAGGACCTTGTCATGCTGGCTTTCCTGATGAATTTGACTTTTCTCATCAGAGGAGCAGCTCAGGACATCATTGTCTCTGAGAATGGCTGCGGTTCACTTCGGGGAAGGTCTGGTCCTCACTTTGAGCATTGCTTCCTGGCTCCAGAGGGGAAGGTAGTGCACTGCTCAGTCTCCTGGAGAAGCTTGTTGAGTTGGCTTTCCTTATGGGAATTCAGCTTTCCTCATCGTCGGAGGAGCTCAGGACCTCACTGTTGCTGAGGATGGCTGTGGTAGTTTTCAGGGGAGCTCTGGTTCTTACTTTAGCATTGCTTTCTGGCTCCAGTTCAGATTCCTCAGCTTGTTAGCACAGATCCTTCATCCTGCTGGCACAGACTTTCTGGCTTCCACCACTGACCTTTGGGCCTTCCCAGTGCAGATCCATGAAACAGGCCTGCATGAGACATTGTCATGGGCTCTGGGCCTCCAGTTGGACTTGTGGGAGGCATTGTTATGGGCTCTTCAGCCAGATTCATGCAGGACATTACTATGGGATCCAAGCCCTCAGCTGAATTCTTTGGTCTTTAGTATAGAGGCAGATTTCCTGCACTCTTTTTGTATATGACTCTTTGGGTGACTATTATAAAATAATCTTATAAATGATGTGTCCTGTATTGTATTATTTCCCCTTGTGAAACCCAAACTACAATGCAGGATGTGTGCATGATCACTAAGCATAGATACCACCTTCCAGGAGAGTCATTCAGAGATGCTGTGGCCCACAGGTCCCAGGTGTATGCTGAACACTGTCTTCATTTGGGAGTAGGAGAGTTACTACACAGAAAAAGGAGATGTGGATCAGAGTTCCTAGTGTGACAGGGAAGACAGACCCACATTCTTGAGAAAATCGAGAAGTCTGGAGAGGGCTGCTCTTTGGATGTATCACCAGACTCTGAGGAACACAGTGCTTACTGCCATGGTCCTTTCTGGGACAATGTGAATCCAGTTGGGCTAGGGAAAAGGCAAGGAAGGCTGCTTGTGAAGGGTGAGGATGGGCTTTCGTAAGGAGGCAAGCAGAACAGTGTCAGTGAAAAGGTGTGCATGGAGATATTTCAGAGAGCAGGACAGGATGAGACAAGGCCAGGGGGCAGACAGCGGAGAAGCCCAAGGGTCCTTGCGGGAGTGGAAGAGATCATGAGATGCTGTGACAGTGGGGAAAGAGGAATTAAGCTCTTGAGGCAGAGACCCAGGAAGCAGGGCCAGCCTCATCCTTGAGGCTTGAGACTACTTGAGGCTGTGAGGCAGCCTATGGGATCCACATCTGGAGAATCCAAAACATCTGTATGCTGAGCTTGCTGTGTTCAGGAGGCTGTGGCCTTAAGGGCCGGCCAGATTCCAGGGAGGGAAGTTGAGGAGAGGTGGAGTGGCTGGTGAGCTACTGATGACCTCAGATCTAGTCACTAGGTGGTGTGGTTGGGTTGGTGAGCCGGGGCGAGGCCCATATCCGAGCCCTCCTCTTCGACCAAGACCAACTGGGACACGAGCCAGTTACCCACCAGAACTTACCAGAAAGGACAAGGGGTCAAACACCCTCGTGGGAAGTACGGATGGAACTGGAACCTGACTCAGGAGCTCTGCCTGATGAGGTCCATCCTGCCAACCAGGCTGGGCCCCTGTGCCTCCCCCAGCTTTTGTCCCTACCCTGAGAGAGTTTATCGATATAAATCTAGAGCTGAGGTCACTCACCTCTTGCTCTCAGTGTTGTACCCCTTCCCCCATCAACCTCCTCCTCCTCAGCTGTTCCATTCCTGGAGAGCCCACACACACACAATCCCTCTTGTCTTTTTCCACTTTTCCTCCACTGTCCTCTGCTTCTGTCCTCCTCCAACTATCTCCCCAGATCTTCTCTCCCTTTCCTTCTCCCCAACAACATCCCTAGCCAGCCTTCTCCTCTTTTTCCAAGTGGCACCTCAGAGTAAC